TGGCTAAGTGCTTAAGCGAATGTTCTTAGTGCACAAGATGGCTTTTTAATGGTGCTCTAGTTGGACACGAGGGGAAGGGGAAGGATGGTGTGCGTGCAAAAGGAATGCAGCAGGAGATCACCGGATTCCAGGTATTTGGGTTTCTCTTCTGTTAAAAAGTGTAGGAGGAGAGCTGTGTTAATCTACTGTGGCCAAACATCAGAAGGAATCTGATCCCACCTTTTCCAACTAAGACATACTAAAACATCTGATGGACTGAGCTACAGTTCATGAAAGCTTCTGCCTTTTAATAAAATGTGTTTGAAAAGGTGTGACCAGGCTCCTCCTGATTTCCCCCACTTAAAGACATCTCTGTCAAGTTTCCAGTTGTCTACCTGGAGTTGTCACTACTCCATTGACATCTGTGTTCTCAACTGCCCCTCCCTGGCGGGGAAACCATCAAAGCTTGAAACAATTTTCTTTCCTTTGGCTAGATCCTTTGGCCTTGCATCCTTTGCCTTGCAAAGTTTCTCCATGGGGCCAGCCTGGCTGACCACGATTCTTATTGGACAGCCTTGCACTTGATTTCTCTCAAGGCTTGGTGTGCAGCTCCTGCGTTACCACTGCGGTCTCGTTGCTGACCACGAGCTGCTTGGCACCTGGTCCAGCCACAGCCCAACAATGTATCAGGCCTGCTGGCACCATGTCCTGAGACGATGACCTGCAAGCTTCTTCTTGCAGGCTTTCAGCAGCAGCGCACCAACAGTACTATTATTGAGCATATCAAGCAAAGGTTTCATGATCTGCATGCAGACTGTACAAAGTGGGTCAGCCATTCGAGATGGGGAACAGTTGGGCAGTCTAGAATGGTCCTAGGTATGGTGACTTCTGGGGTCCATGATGGAGATCCTTGCTTTCTCTGGCACGGCGCCTGCCGTATGGAAGAGTCCCCCCCCCCTCCAAGATCCAGATGGCCCCAACCCCTTTCGTAAGGCATTAAAGACCTGGAAGTACCTTCAGGCATTTGGGCCAGGAGGTTAAACCAACCCTGTTTATGGATTTATTGGGGAAGGGTGCTGGTGGTGTGTTTTTAGATCCTGGGAGTATGTCATATTATTTTGGATCAGTATTGGGGTCCTTTACTTGGTATATTCTGTTCCTGGTGGGGGTTTTGCTTGTTTTAATCCTCTGCATGGCCTATAATCATTGCTGTGAGATGGTTAACCTTGCAACTTCAGATAGTATAATCAGCACAGAGGTGGGACAAGTTGTTGAAGCGATCAACAGTTTTAATTTACTCTGAGTTTTGTTGAACTGGGGAGATTGGGGGAGTTAGCAGGGCTGCTCAACCCAGCTTTTCCAACTCCAGATATTTCTTTTAGTTGGGGAATTCAGGATAGACTAGCAGATAGATATACTACTTTAATGTGGTGCGTCTGTAGGAGAGGGTCGTGGCTTAAATATGATTCAGATAAGAAAAGAGGTGAGATATGAACTTCCCCAACTCTTGGCTGACTCATATTCATGCACAACTCTTATTTATTTATTAATCAAATGTATACGCCACCCATCTCACTGTATAAGTGACTTTAGGTGGCTTACAAGTCAAAAACAATAAAAAAAAAGATGCAGGTCTTTACAAAAATATACAGTGCAACAATTCTCCATGTACTGCACATCAACCATGTCTCTTTATTAAAGGAGAATTTTTCCAACCTTACCTGGAGATCTAATTTGGCTCCTTTGCGTTCAAAGCCAGCATTCTGCCTCTCTCATTGATTTCTAGCTAGAATTAACAATGTTAAAAGAATTGCTATAATCCAAATCAAACAATACGTCATCTCACCATAGTCAGAGGTGTGAACAAAGTGCATTGTTTCTGTCCAGTGTAATAATCCAAGTTTTGCAAGGCTCTTGATTGCTAGGGCTATCCATCCTTAAAGGTAAAATCTCCTTTGACTAGAGTTTTGACTCCTGGTGATCCAGAGATGTGGGTGTTATAAGTGAGGACTGTCCTCTGATGGCCTTCTAAAGCATTTGATGTCTTCTTATGAAAAAGGAGGCTGTTCCTGCTCTCCTCCTGCCAAGCTGCGTTTGTGTAATTTTTGCACCACCTACAATATGTACCAGTGTTCCCTCCAGACAATCAGGTGCGAAGCCAAAGGATGAGTCATGAGGGAAACGTTCTGGATCATCTGCTTTCCTTCTTGGGGTTCTCCTACCATGGTGTGTTTTATTTCCAAGAACAGCAGTTGCAAGAAGGGCTCAGCACCATGGAAAGTGAGCATTGCCCCCTCCTCCAAAATTAAGCTGTTTGTCTCCCCAATCAATTAACCACATCTTCACTTTAAACTTTCCCTCCCTAATTCTTCTCCTTAACAGAAGCTCTTACAGTTTCTGGATTGTTTTGTGATTTGGAGGTCAGGGAGCATTCCAGATAAATCATCCCCGTCCTTGATTTTCGTCTGGGTCCTCCATCTCTGCGGGGTGTTTAAATGTTTGCTAGGGTGAGCTGCCAATTCAGCTCACGAGAAGAGGTTTTTGTTTGTTTCGAAAAAGGAAAAACTGAAGAAAAGGAAGAAAAAATGAGTCTGATTTTCTTCCTCTGTGCCTATCCCCTACATGCAATTATAGGGGTAGAATTTGAGAGGGACTTTGGGACCAGGAGGAGAGAAGTCAGTGGCCATGGGCTTCTGATCCTTTCATTATTCTTGCCCAGTGAATAGAGGCATTTGAATCAATGAGCATCTTTCTGCTTTGGCCTTTCCAAGACTTCTTGAAGATCCCCAGTCTGGGAATTGGCTACACCATCAAACATCTTTTGTTGACATTTGTTTTATAATGATTCACCTTCTCCTGAACTTAAGGGCATGAGAACTAGGCCTCTCTCCATCAGGGAGAGGCAATTGGTAGGCTGTTTTGCCCCCCCCCCCCAATCCATGTTAGCAGTCACTAGGGCTCCCCATGTTTTTTTTCCTACAACATTCTCTCCCCTCTCGCCGTCTTCCTCTCTTTTTGAAGGACACGTTAAGACCTAAGATAAGGCTCAGTGCACCGGTCGGCTAAACCTTGTGCCAAGCAAGCGCCTTCCCCCAGATGTTCAGCCTTGTCTCTGTACATGCACCCTGTGGCAAAGCAATTTACAAAATTAAATTAAAAAGCACTTCCTGGTCAGCAGAGTTGCTTGCTTCTGCAAGTAGGAAATGAAGTGTGTTTCCATCTTTCTTTTGCCGTAGCCCCCCTGCCCCTGTGTCTATAAAGCCTCAATATTGTTTGCAGGGACCTAATTCTCAAAGGCGTTACAGCTGGATGCCCTATGGCTACATCCAGAAGGAGCATGGGTGTGCTTGCTTTCCCCCCATCACAACCCCCTTGTGATTTTCAGGATTCTTAAGCCATTGGGTTGCTTAAGCTCAGCAGTCTTCCAGATGCTTCAGGAAACCATAAACAGCCAGGTCTAACATGGGCTTCTGATTCTCATGGTAGTGGAGCAGATGTCTTAGGGAAGGCCACAACTCAAACCCCAAAGCGATCAATCCCCCTAGCTGTTGCTTCCCGCCATCCTACCTTTACCTATGGAAGATCCAAGCTGCTATCATGACTATTAACCCCGGATTGAATGCTTCTACCTTCCCTGGGTCTAACTCCTCCTCAAAGCCAGTTTGTGCTAGCACAGCATCACGCGTTTCTTCTTTTTGGAGCTCAGTCTACCAACAGTTGGCTTTATTGGGTTACCCCAAGTTTTAATATGCCAGTGCAAACTCCATTCTGTTTCTGAAGTCCTGGTCTGGAGACGTGGTCTCCTGGCTGTTACAGGGAGACCCCATCCCAACGTTCTTCTGGTGCCCTCCCCTGGGGAAGATGCTCTCCCTGCCAGCTCCAATCCATGGCTTCCTTTTTCCCCAGTGGCCAACCAGGGGCTTCTGGGCAGTTGGCAAGCAGGATGTCACTGCCAAAGCATTATCTGAACCTCTACTCTTGAGAGGTGCTATAGAGCTAATGTGATGAATTTCCAGGGATGCCCCGATCTGTCACAAATGCGGCTTATCCCCTTTTGCAAACTCTGGGGTGGCCATTGCTAAAATCGAGGTTCCATGAGCTCCCAACCTCTTGGAGAAAGGACATCAAAGCAACTCCCCACCTGTTCCGTTTTGCCATCTCACGCCAAGATCACGCGTCTCCTTTCTTACAGGACCAACATGCCAACTCTTGTCCTATCCAGAGTTTGTCTGGTTCCTCCACCTTCCATGCTCCAGCGGCAGCAGAAGCTGCTTCTCTTCCTGGGTGGCTGAGCCAACTCTGGGCAGCCTCCAGTTCCTATTATTAATTAATCATGATTTGTTAGCAGCAGGAGAGGTCGGAGAAGAACATGGAGTACTTGGTGAGCTAATGGATCGGAGTTTCCTCTTCTTGAGGGGGATCAAGGCTGGCAGCCAGACCCTCCTCCCCCTCCTGCGCTGACTTCAAAACGTTTCTCCCCAAACAAACGCAATCTGCTGATTCCCTCCTTATCCCCTTTGCCATGGGTGCAGATGTTTTCTTGTGACTATGGCTGCCTCTCCCCTGGGGGGAGACGGGACCGGTGGAAAAAGTAGCATTCCCAAGGCGAGCGATGCGGATGGCAGGGCTGCTGCGCTGTGGCGTGTCTGAGCAACGGGCAGGCTTTGGGACCCGGAGGGAGCCTTCTTTCCTTCCTCCTCCTCCTCCTCCTC